GTCATCACCAGTACTCATCAGCTCAAACACTGGCGGACTCAAGACTTTTGAGGTGCAGGGGCGAAAATAAAAAAAAGGTTACCTGCTTTATGCGGTGGGGCACCAGCGCTCATACAGTTGTAGTGAAATAGTTTGAAACGCTGGTAAAGACTTAATTTTTGATTTTATGATTTCAACTACTATGTTTCTAATAAAACACACAAGGAAGTAATAACAATTTAACTTAAAAATATTTGGTTTTGTCCACTGAGAGGGCTCCCTGGAGGACACTTCATCATGTTTTATCAACCACAGAGGCATCAAAGAAGGCCCTTTCACAGCGTTTCTCTCCAATATTAGGGCAAACTACTTTACCCTCTCTTCTCAACCTTTGAATAATTGAATATTGAATACTTATTCTTCTTCACCCAATGATTATGCCATTACAACATTGCTGATCAATTTAAAAGAATAAATGGGTAACAATAAATGATAACATCTCATATAGGAGCATTGTAGGTATACTGGCACACTCAGCTTGAGCAATGTGTAACCACATCCGGCACAGGCATGTGGATGTTAACATGCAAGGAAGACCAAAGGCTGGTGCTAGCCCTGCACACGTTAGCCACACACAGCAAACCAATTTGACATCCTGCAGAGTAGTACAAAGTGTGTGAGGTAAAGTGTCACACATTTCAGCAGCATTAAAAAAAAAATCCCTCTTTTTTGTTATTTTGTGATGAACTGTTTCAAATAGAAATTAAATAAGCAACATGCAATATGTCTTAGGACAGTGTTTAGCCATGTTAAATATTGACTGAGTGTTTTCTTTCTTTTAGACTAGTCCATTAGTCTGAATTTAATCTACAGGAAAATTAGTCACCTGGTGAAAAGGGCTTGAGATAAGTATATAAGATGTCACTGCTATTATGAGTCTTTGATTATCATCAAAGGTTTGTTTTATGTTTGTGTGCATGTCTGAAGATTTGGTACTATATCAATAAAATATATGAATCAATATTCATTGAAAAAGGATTACCGGTAATTGATTTGTGCAAGGACACTTTTAAATCATCAAAGAAACAGACACATGGTCACATCTGGTGACATCAGTGCATATTAAATATTCATTTAAGTGAAAATCCACAAACATGCATAACAGGCACACGTGTGTGTGTTAGTGTGTTAGTGTGTTTGTGTGTGTGTGTGTGTGTGTGTGTGTGTGTGTGTGTGTGTGTGTGTGCCCACACTGCCTTCATCCCAGTGTCCAGAGAATCACATCAGGGAATATCAGACTCATGAGGATCAAAGTGATTAACACTGGACTTCAAGCAGTAATGCTGAGGATTAAGACAGCTAATAAATGTTTCATTCAAAGCCAAACGCAGATCAAACGTTAGAAGGCCCTCGGCTCGTTCTTTGGGGGTCCGTGTGATTCTACTCTGTCCTCTCCTCCTCCCCTCCTCCTCCTCCTTCTCCTCCCTCAGCTGTTGGTTTTCAGTTGTATTATGACAGCCACTACAGATCGCCTCACTAGCAACTACAGGCCCTGCCCTTGTGCCTACACATCATTAGCTCTGCATCTGTCAGCTTCCTAACAGGTTCCCACTAATGTGGCCAAGGACTCACTTCATTGCATTCCTATCCAACAGACTGCAGCAGTCTCTCCATCCAGCCCCTCTTTTCTTTGACTTTTACCCGCTCTCCTTTACTTCTTTCACTTCCCTCTGCCCCTGCTTTCTCCTCACTTCAAGCCCTCCTCTTTCTCTTCTCTCTCTCCCTCTCATAATGAACCTACACTTTTAACCTTTCCACTCCTCTCCTCTCACCCACCTCTTCATTCTCCTCTTCAGACTTGTTCCTGAAGTATCTGTCGAGATTCAGGGATGGTGCCTATGGTCAGCAGGGGATTAGCAAGTTACGAGGTTGGAGAATGTGTGAAAACCTGTTAAGCCGCACACTCTGCGGACCAGCCTCTCTCTCTCTCTCTCTCTCTCTCTCTCATACACACGCAGAATATAACCCACAGATGTCCTGAAACCCAAGCAAGCGCCACAAAATCTGCCTCTGACATCACGTTTATCACTCACCCCACATGCGTGGTCCACATCCCCACCACTAAGAAGTGTATAGACAAAGAACTGATATAAACAACCGCATATTATGCAGCTAAAGATATCAGCGGATGTGAAGTTAAATAAGTAATTAGAAGGAAAATAATTGTAAAAAAAAAAAAAAAAAAAAAGAAGACAAAAATATGTAGTGGCTAATGGCAGCAATGGTGACACTGGTCCTAGTAAATGGGCTTTGTGGCTATGCGTGTAACTCTATCTGTGGAGGGGGAATACAGCAGTGGTTGGGTAATGGAAAGGTCATTTAGCCAATCCCCCAGGTAGGGGGGCTGCTCTGACACGGCTCGTTTGTCACAGTTCAATAACTGCCACTCCTGGGAGTGAGAGGTGGGGAGAGAAAACGAGTGAGAGAGGGGTAGGAAACATGTGTGTGTGTGTGTGTGTGTGTGTGTGTGTGTGTGTGTGTGTGTGTGTGTGTGTGTGTGTGTGTGTGTGTGGGTGTGTGTGTGTGTGTGTGTGTCAGTGTGTGTGTGTGGGTGTGTGTGTGTGTGTGTGTGTGTGTGTGTGTGGGTGTATGTGTGTATCAGTGTGTGATAGTGTGCAGAGCCCTGGTAGCACAGCTGATTCCCAGAGCTTGTCCCTCCATTAGAGGCCTCAAACGGGGTCACAGCTAAGGCCGGGCAGCACGGACCCAGCCATCTCGACGTGCGAACTTGTAAGCCTCAGCCTGGGAGGATTATCTCCGCTCTAACTGGTAGATGTTTAGTCTTTCCAAGTGGGAAAACTGAATTCTTACACCTTCATGAACCCAAAGATGGCCACTACAAGAAGATGGGAAACTGGCAAAGCTTTAGATGTATTAAATTTAAAATATTAGACAATTAGATTTTTTTGTGAAGCAAATTGAATCCATACTAAAATAATACAAATTGACATAATGGATACCCTTTATAAAGTATATATTCATGATTCTTAAATTGAATAAACAGTTATAAACCTTTTGGATTTTTTAAGAGAAATATTTTTCACAAAGCTGAAAACAAATCAGTTTAAATAATTTAATTTCTTTTGAATTAAAAATAGGTGTCACAAGACAGGGCATATGAAGATTTAGTCCAATCAATTAATAAATTAAACATTTGTGTATCAATTGAAAATACAGAATTTTAGCCAATCGTGCTTCATTATTAAGAAAACATGTAACTATAAAACAAGCACAAACGGTGAGCTAACCTCAGTTTTTCTCACTTGGCTTCAATGATTTGGATTGACCCTTTAATGTGTTGTTAGGTGTGTGATGATCCCCCAGCTTTGAGAGAGAGCCAAAGATTTTCACACATCTCATTGAGCGGCTGGTGAGAGACACCACTGTCTGTCCTTCTCCTCACTTTGAAAATCAATAATAAGCTTCTATGTGCTCATTCACGTGTCTCCATGTCGTCCTGCAGAGATGCCTGAGGCACAGATTTGTATTCATTTTAACAAGGGTCAGAGATTTCGGATTTCATATCCAACCCCCTGTGGAGATTTTAGAACTACTGACCTAACGGTGAGGGACTTTTAGCATGAAGTCTAAACTGGGTTTGTTTGAGATGTTTTAGAAAGGTCTCTGTCTCCCTCTTGTGGTGGTCACTGGAAACAACAGTTTTTAAGACCGTTTGCAGCAAACCTTTCAGAGCTCTTGTAAAACAAAATACAAGAATTTGAAATGGTTGACTAATTCCCATGTATTAATCTTTTTATTTTCCCAATTTAACCTACTTTGGGGTCTTTTGACGTTAAAGGGCACTAATAAACAACGTGAGCCATATAATGCAATGTAATCATTATGTCAAAATATATTTTTGTTATACTAAGGTAAGTAAAGTAGTTAAATAAAATCAAAAGTATCATAATAAGTTTTAAAAAATATAAGACAAGAGAGTGCCACAGGAATGAGTTCTAAAACCAAGAAGTAAGTTAGCATTTTAGCACAATGGGGTCGTTTGCCTCAAACTCAATGTTTTTTTTTGAATGGGTTGGTGGTTGGATGCCTGACATAAGGTCTTTGGTTAACACAAGCATAAGAGATTTTGTTGTACGACATTAAATACGTTAGTGAATACCCTCATTTGTGAATTTTGAAGTTTATACGTGTCCTTAAAATAGGCAATTGCTAACAACAGTGCATTAAACGTTATGCCGGACACGTTCTCTCACTAGTCCAGCTTACGGCCTTAAGTCATGTTTTCCTGTGCTCTTGCAAACTCTTACATTTTTTTATAAATGTTAATTTAGTAGGCTACAGTTTCGCTATCTAGTCAAAATTGCTAGTTAGCTCATTGGAGACATCCTGAAGCATGGTTTTGGTGATGTTGAAGCCATGCGACCATGGTGTAGTTCGATAGTAGCATAATGTTAGCTTTTTACTTCTGGGGAATGCATTAACACTTCAAACACCATAAAAGTGGTCTTCATTTGTGAATATTATCTTTCTGAACCAAACGTGACAGTGTAATAAATGTGTGTTTGCCACAGAGCTTGTTTTCTGCAATGATCCAAAATCTGATGCAAAAATCCCTAAGCCTTTTTTTGGAAGGCCCGATGGCAATGCTAATTTCAGGGCTGGCCTACAAAAATACTTAATTTTGTACAACTAAGTGCTAGCTAGCAGCTGCTAAACGTTGAGCCAGCAGTCACAGTAAAAACCACAGCAGCTTTTACTGAAACATAAATGTATTAATGTGCAAGTCTGTCACTGTTTGTTACCTGAAGGACAACATTTCAACTAATACAGTGCCGACCTGCAGCAAACATATTCCATCAAAACATAATGAGGAAGCCAGAGAAACCCTTCAAACGAGATCATTTTTGTCCTCCAAATGATAGCGAAAGAGATGCATGTCTCACACAGGGGCTGAGCTTTCTGTGGTCAGTGACATCATGGGACAGAAGCTCTTCCTCATTCAAAATGACTCACTGAAGTTTGGGCCACTCACAGTTTTACACACAGTTTATTTGACTGAGTGTCCCCATGATCTTCTACAACTTGATTATAATCCTTGAAAAGATAAGTTCATCCTGAGGAAAGCAACTTTGTTCAGTCCAAGGAAGTCACCGCTGTGATGGCACCACTGATGTTTAAAGATGCCTTCTGGGTAAGTGTGTTTTTTTAGCTCTGAAGCTTTACAGAGACTGCCCTTGAAACTCAAAGACCATTACTATCCTTATATGCATACAGTTATTTGTCTTTGGGGTTTTAACACTGAACAAACATTATACATACACTAAACTAAAACCTGTTTTTATAGTATAGACATTTTTGACAACACTTGATTGTCAAGGCATGTCACCCTGCATTTAGTTTACATATTATATTCTAACATATACTATTCATCTGCATACCTAAAGTTGCCTACATTTATTGTCACTTATTCATTCCGTTTTAAGGTTATGATCATAAGCAGGGAAGAAAAGCTGCAGCATGAAAGCAAATTGTAGAACAGTGTAGAAGTAAAAACTTCCCTAATCATGAAAAAAAATGTCTTCGTTCAGTTTTTTTAGTTACCCAAGGTGAGTGGTGAGTTACTGTTCATAAATCTGACAAACTGATTCTCCTCTTTTCTGTAAGTCTCAGCTAAGCATTTAAATGACTGTCATTTGACACACTGTCACTTGTTGCCTTATTTGACCATCCATCTGCATTACTCAGAGGGGCATTTTGATGAAGTACTGAGTATGTTGCCAAGTCATATACAACTCTATTTTTTTTTAACTCTGTGCTGGTTCTGCTTTTTTTACCACATAGTTTGTCCATGATTGACTCAAGGTCATGTTGCAATATCTTTTGAGCAATTGCTATTTTCTAATGTTTTCCATGTCTTGCCATTACAGGGCGCGGACTTCACGTGTCATACCGGTTATGAAGCTCTGATCCAGAGGTTACAAGATGGAAGACAAATGGGCAAAGATGTGGAGGAGCTTCTAAAAATGAGGTACATTTGGGAATTAGGATGTACGTATTCCTTTTTCAATTACACATCTAGATGAGTATAAATAAAAGTAAACCTGAGTTAGTTTGTTTGCAATGATCCCCACAGAAAGACTACACCTGAAACCTGCATGACCCGATCGCTCTGAAAGAACAGTATAAACAAGTTAAGATCGCACTATAAGGTGGTTCTTGTTAAATGTTGAAGTTGTAGCTAAAATAAAGTCAGTCAGCAATACTTCATGAAAAAGAGAAGGGCCTCTAAAGCATACATATGCTAACTGGGCAAAAGTGCAAATCCTAGTTTCTGCAAAGTAAGACAAAATACAAAAATGCATGCTTCATTTTTAGCAATGTAAACTGTATATCACTAAAACCCTAAATATTACTTTGTTTTCATGCTGCACAGGGCTCTCGCAGAGGAGAAGTATGGGAAAGAACTGGTGATTATTGCTCGTAAAGCAGGGGGACACACAGAGATCAGGTAAATCAGCCATCACTGAGATCAACATAATGTAGTGGACATACTGTGCACTTGGTATATAAATATGATGTATTTTCAAAATGAATAAAAATATGTTTACATTCTCCTCTTTTACTGATAGGAGTTTGAAATAAGGTGTAATGCTGCATGGTTAAAACTGACCTGCAACAAAACATAGGTCTGGCACCTTTGAGTCATGTTCTTTTTAGACGACACATTTGGCACAGTTAACTTCTGTGTGTGAAAAAGAAAGAGGAAAAAGTGTATGTAGGTGTAAGTGTATGTGGCACTTGTGTGTTTGTGTGTGTGTGTGTGTCGGGGAGGGTTACTGTAGCAACATCTTGCACTTAGCTTTTTGTGACTGTGTTCTCGGAAACAAAAAGAAGAAACACATAACACATTGGTCATGAATAAGATACTTGTGACAGCTGTGTTTCAAATTTAAAATATGTCTGTTGGTGAATATTGAAATATTTTTTGGGGTGTTTGCAAAGATCTTAAGCCTCGTTGTGGCAAACATATAACGCAGCTTGAACACTTAATGATCTCTCATCTTATACATCGTTTTTTTCAGCACCTTGAGAGCATCCTTTGAACAATTAAAAACACGTAAGTTCATGCACTTATTTTCATGCTAGACAAAGTCAACCAGAGCACTAAACATTGCTGCAATAATGTTTCTTATATGTCCAAAGTTTAGAATGACTCATTTTGTCATTTCTGGATTCAGAAATCGAGAACATCGGGAACTTCCACATCCACTTGTCTAATATATTGAAAGAGGAGGTGAAAAAGATCGAGACATTCAGAGAACGGCAGAAAGAGCAAAGGAAGAAGGTATACAGGGCTAAATGCAGCCCTTAACTGATTGTAGATTATGAAGAGATGAGGTTTGCTTGGCCTCACGAACATAATGTGAGGTTTGATAGTTAGAGTATGTATACAGTAGCATGCAACATGTTGACCCTTTTGTTACCCCCTAAAGTTCCAAAGCATCATGGAGAAGGTTCAGAAGAAAAAGGTGACATGGTACAAGAAGACTATGGAGGTAGGAGAACACCCACAGCTGATATCATTCAAGTCATTGTTGGACAAAAATCAAATGTGAATTATTTACTCTTTGTGGAGAAACTCGCTTGATGGCATTATACAATGTGGCTATCAATAGAATCTAAGGCAAACTTAGCTCATCATGTCTGTGGTGGAACTCTGCAGCCTGTGGTTTCTACCTCTATTTTTTTAACAGTCTAAGAAAAACTACGAGCTGAGATGCAGGGAGGCGGATGAGGCTGAGCAGGGGGCTGAGAAAGCAACTGTCACATCCAAAAACGCAGACAAGGTGCAATAACTAAATGAGCCATGATTCTGTTAAAGTGAAGTCGGGGTTTACAGAGTGAAATGAAACACATATCTTTTAAAGTGATTCAGCCTGTTGCAATTCAACCAATGAATAATGATTTGTTTCACTTTTGTAAATTCAGCTAATGTGCAAACTAAATTCAATGTCTTCAGCCTTTGGATGCACGTATCATTATATTCAGGTGTGATGCAGATATACTTGTTTGTTAACACAGCTTGCCAACTTGTCATATGGGTCATGCGTGTCGCTTCCTGTGTTATATCTATAACACTTAGGTACGTCACAGGGCAAAGCAGTACAGACAGACAGCAAATGAAGCAGGTATCAACAAAAAACCCATTTCTTCTCTAGAACTTCTATTTTTAACCTGGAAACATTTTTTTATTTTCACTGTATTCAGATGATTCTCAATGAAGCTACAACTGATTATCTACATTTTGAAAGAACTTGATGCAAATGCTGCAAACCATGGAACCATCTCTAACATCACTCTAATCTCTCACAGAGAAGCTGTACTCTAACAACGTTGAGCAGCTCGAAAGCATTCGCCAAGACTGGGAGGAAACACACAGAAGCACTTGTGAGGTACTAGTTTGATTTATTTTCTTTTTACACTTTCGCATCTCACAATTGCTTCTAACCACAGAAACACACCCTACACTACATCCCCTCGGTGCGCAAAGTGTGATTTCCTTTTGCAGATGAGTGATGCAATATGCATAATTGTGAATGATTAAAAAAATAGAACCTCACATGCTCAGTCAGGCTATAAATAACTGCATCCTACATGTCAAGTTCTGTCTTGACATTTCAGAGATGTATCTAATTGAGAACATGTACAGAGAGAGAGAAACAATAAGTGCAAATAATCAAGCTCCTTCTGATACTCAGTTACTGGAAGAGTTTGGAAATATGAACCCATAGTGTACGTCATGTATTTGTCAGGTGTTCCAGCAACTTGAGGGAGATCGCATCAGCATGCTCAGGTATTCTCTCTGGGACCAATGCAATCATTTCTCCATGCAGTGTGTCAAAGACGACGAGGTGAGTCTACACACCGTTACACGTATACAAAGCCAAATGAAATCAATGTATCTGCTGAGGGTTTAGGTTTTAAATCATGCTGCATCGTGGGCTTCATTCTAATTTGAGAAGCAATGTATTGCTAATGATGTTAATGTGGGTGTGTTACAAAAAATCTACCCAACACTTGGGTCATGGTCATAGTTACCATGGGCAACTCACAGAACAAACGACATCTTGTCTAACCACAGCTGCTGGGTCACGTTTGTGCTCCTACTTACACACTACTGAAAACACAGCTCACTCCTCATTGAGGATATATTCTATCTGCTCAACATTAACATACAGCACATTTTCACAATGTGAATACTCAAATTGACACATTTAGAATGTTATGTTATGTCATCATGTAGCTAAAGCATGTCTGTATATAGCATCTATATGCTAGCATGGCTCTGGATATATACAGTGGACACTTTTTTAAATGGGAAGAGAAAACATTTTGAGGAAGATTTAGCCAAGCACATGCTTCTGATCTTCCTGGGTTTTGTTGTTGTTGTTGTTGTTTTTGCATAAAGAACTTCACAGTAGTCTCTATAAAGAACTATTTGTATGTCTTGTTGAGCTATAGAATAACATTGCAAAAGTGTAGTTGGGATTTCCAAAAAATAGCTTTCTGTTTTAAATATAGTTTCACGAGGAAGTGAGGAAGCTGCTGGAACAGTGCGACATCACAACAGACAACAACTGTTTCATAGAGATGAAGGGCACAGGGTCCAGGCCTCCAGGTGAGCTGTAATGGCGGGCCAGGCATTTATGATAATAATAAAAATCAGAGAAGTGAGAACAAAGTGTCACTTCATTAAAAGAAAAAGTAAATTTAGTGCAACTAAAGTTGTTACCTTTTTTCATTCTATGTACATGCAGGCAAAAAGCACTTGCACTCACTTCCCTTTTCTGCTCACAGAGCCCATAGTGTTCGAGAACTACTACAAGAGAGACATATCCAGGGACAGCAATGGCCAAGTTCATTTTGAAGAAAGAGGAGGCGACACGATGAGGTCTGAAGCAATACGCTTTGACATGAATCAGGAGGGGACAGCATTATTACTGTACAACTTTGAAAATGTCAAGGAACGTTAATTGTCCCCTCCTGCCTGGTTTATTTTTCATCAATACCTTCACTCACTTTCAAAATGTTTGAAAGGACCACATGCATCCATTATGTACAATCATTAGTCTGATGATCGGAACGTTTCTGGAAGCCACTGTGTGTGTATCCTGATATCTTTCTTGACCTGGATCAATCAGGTTCTCAGAAGGCCTGCTGGCAAGTTCTGGGACGATCAGTGTCGACAGTCTTGAAAATGCATCACCAACAGTGACATCCATTGGTGAAGGTTAGTACTGCATGCTCGTGTTGGACCCATAGGAACCCTTTAACAGCTCTTGTGGGGTGTCATGACGTTTTTAGCCTCATTAACCTCACACAAACACCATTTCATGACCAGTAGCGGACTATAACCACCACTGCCACTCCTTCTAGTAAGAAAGCAAAATATCAGCCCAATTTGTAATTCCCTCTCCTATTGTGCTGCAAAGGTTCTGTTTGACAAAGTGTAGTCCACCTCTGGCATCACAATTTGCAATGCAATGAGAAAACAGCGGGGAGGGAGGGAATTACAACAAGAAAAATAGCTGGCATCATCACACAAATTGATTGTGTAGCCTACCATTGTACCGCACAAGATCTCATAACAGCCCGCAACCCCAGCTAAGTAAGTGACAGATAGCCTACTCAGTCAGGAACATCGTGAACAGCGATCATGGCATTTGGGAACCCATCACCACAAACAAGCAATATTTTTGATAAATAATATTATTCGATTGGCACGAAGCTTTAGCTTACAGTTGCTCGGTCACTGCATAACCGGTGTAAGAGCGACTTTCAATGAGTCTGTAATATTTACAGCATATGGTCTAAAGTCGTCAGATCCCAATCACCTCTTTGTTTAATTTTTCATTAAACATATATCTACAGAGTATTTTTGCCATTAAAAAAGTAGACAAATTGGTTATGAGTTAGGACACTTCCCAACTTCAACATCTGCTGTAACCAGCCACAGATGCATTTGCCTGAAATTCACCAGTTAACATGGTAACTGTTTAAACCGTAACACCGGTCATTATGCACAATGGCCGTTTCCTCAAATAAACCTCAACTTCACAGTGGCAGCGGCGGCCAGAGCAAAATGAGTTGGCAAGGCGGCCTAAGAACTGACCCTTATTAGATGGTTGAATCTGTCATCCATAGATATCGCTTCCCTTGTAATTTCTGGAGTTTCTGGAGCCCCTCAAAAGACTTTGTTTTCTGCTCAAAATTAAGCCCAGGCTTATATCTTTATCAGCCGTCACTTGTAAAAATTGTAAACCTAGCCAAACTCCAACTTTTCACTGAAATGTTAATCCTGAAAACAGCGTGGATAATTCACACACGGTTTCCATCGTAGGAAATCGTTAGCTTGCTAGTTCGGCAAAGTTTTGGCTAGCGTGTGATGTCCTTATCATAAGTAATTTTAAAGCCCACCCACTTAGAGGAAGGTTTGATTGATCCATTTTACTCTCGTTTAAAACTTTCCTCTCATTAAATTGCTATTACTTGGTCGGCTGTAATTTTGCTGTATGATCACAGAATCATACAGGCAGAATTCTGATAGGCCGTCGAATCAGCCTTTTTCTTCACTTTCCGATACAAACTGAAAATGCTAATTTTAAACGTTTATGTTTTAAGAAACATTTGGTTTATATGTTAATTGTCAAATTATGAATCAATTATATTAAAATTAAAACAGAATACTTTTTAAATATTATTTTTTAAATACTTTCCCCTTGGGTTTCACTGGGCCGATGTCACACTCCAATGCTGTTATTATGTCACACTCACGTAGCCTATTTCGGGTTTAAAACTGTATAAAAAATAATATGTCATTACTTTTTCACTTACTAAATATTTAAAATCCATAAAATGACTCCAAGAGGACATTGGACATATTTCAAGTTAAAACAACATATTTGATTATCAATTAGCTGCCTTTAGACAACAGCTCATGTTGGCATTCAATACCTCCCACTCCAGCTTAAACGACTGTTTGATTGTTTTACTCAATATGAAAGGAGAAGCCGCAATTCTAACCTAACAGTTATATTAACAGTGAAATGAAAATGGAGCCATATTCAAGGTGAAAGATCAATTTTAACAACCCCGTAGACACCAAAGCCAGCTTAAGTGTTCAGCTTGGAATTTGTGCATCATTTTATAATGTTTAACACTATCAAATGGTTTAGTCAGCCAGGAATTGGTTGAATACCACCATTAGCTGTAGTGCAATTGTGTCCAACCTGTGTAAGGTCTTGTCTTTTATAAGAATACAATTGTGTATTTGCTTTCACTCTGACTTCAGTGGAGAGCTCAGATGATGGATATGCACCTCTGCCAGGCCTCCAGCGTGCAGCACCACTGGACACTGAGCAAGCTGACGGAGACATTTATGTTGCACTATATGAATACGCAGCACGGGTGAACACTATGAAGATTTTATTTACTCTCATAAATATTAACAATACTAATTCAAGAACTTGACATGAAAATTAGTTTGTCAACTGGTTAAGTACAATTTTTCTGAGAGTATGGTATGTAAAGAGAATATGAATAGTGACGTTATTGTCATCTAACATTTGTCATTTTTGTTTATGCTAACTGGTCAGGAGGGGGACGAGCTGTCTGTCAGTACAGGAGACATGGTGCGAGTGTTGGAACAAGGAGAAGACGGCTGGTGGACAGTGGAGAGGAATGGGCTCAGTGGACTGGTGCCAGGAAATTACCTACGCAAAATCTGAACATACAGACATAAACAAACAACAAGTCAAATAACACCACACCAAAAGAATATTCATATGCATAAGGGGGGGGGGGGGCATTAAGTAATGTTGACTGGTCACAAACTGCCAGACTTCAAGACTCGTTACTTTTTCCACCAAAGTGAACCAGGGGCTGGTGTTAGTGCTGTGAGGAGCTGGTTCAACTTGCCAACCGTCTCAGAACCAGCTTGCTTTTCTTAATACACTGAATACGTCTCTGATTTCCTGGCAGCACTTGCGCGCCATCTAGGCCTCTGGGACTGGAACCTGTTACATGATGCACGTTGTTTTGTTAACTAAATCTAAAGCCGTAGAATTGAATACATAAGACCATAATGTACTCAATTTTAAATGCTGCCGTTATCCAGTCTCTTTTTTTTTCATTCTAATTTTATGAATACAATTGCTATTTCTAGTCTACTAATGTATTTTCTCTTTAAATGGCAAGGTACAATGTAATTGGCAATGAGAATTTCACATTTTTCAAACAACACCATGGAGCCTGCCTCTGTTAGCTGCTGAGCCATAGCAGTGGTGTCCTGAGGATTAGCAACCAGAAAGCATTGCATTGACAGAGAGAGAGAAAGAGAGAGAGAGAGAGAGAGAGAGAGAGAGAGAGAGAGAGAGAGAGAAACAAAGCACAGTGAGTGAACTGCTACACACTTTTTTGTTTTGGAGAGAAATTTGGTGCTACAATGCAATGTAAAAGTGAAGTTAGCAAACACAACTCAAACGCAGCTAACTGCTACAGTGTGAGCAGATTAGGCTAAGCAACTGAGTAGTGATCTGTGTTGTGAAGTATCTCATCTCCCTGCTGTATCCAGTTTTCATTTTACCAAACCAAACAAACAAACTGTGACTATTTGAAGGTGGCATGTTTATGATTGGTCAAATCAACAAGGACTCACCGTACTAAAAATGTTTCAGTTGCAACTGCTTACTGCAGAACAACTAGTGTTAACGTATAGTGTAAGCCAAAATGAAAACTCATCTGAACTCTGACCATCACGTTAATGACAGTTACGTTAATGAATTCCTCTCCAATTGACAATCACATGTTGCCGTAGGCCAAATGTGATGTTATACATCTTAAATAGCCATGATGTGACCTGCTCTTGACCAGCAGCTTCAGCACGGTATGAACCAGTCCCATGACTGTTCATTATATTTAAATTATACGCTGTGTAAATATGTAGTGCAGTAGTGTAATATGTCTGTGGTCCATAAGTTATTTTCTGTGAACTCAGGTAGTCTACCAGCAACTGGACTGTATTAACCATGCTAATAAAATATCAATCAAACAGTCAACTTCAAATGTATGAGTTTATTGACTCCTGCGTTTTCACAATTTTGTTTGTCATCTCTTTTTTTTCCTGTGGCTCTAGCTAAGTATCTAGGGGTTAACCAAACAGCTCATAAATATTAAAAAGTGCACAATTTCACATAAAATGTATAAAATAACAGGTCATGATTCTTTCGAGCAGGTTGTTGAACTCACAAACTAAACGGGAGGAATCCTCTGACCGTCACTGTATCTACAAACACTTGTCTTCATGTAACACTGATAATACTCCTACTAATAACACTGGAGACTAAAAGGGTCATTCACAATTTATACATTGGCAATGCCTCACTATTGAAGCCTGATTCTGAGACCATAGACACCAAACAGAATGTACATTATTCACAACCTGAATATTTGTAAAAATGAAGTACTCTTAATACCAAACATGGCTTAGAGAGCAAACGCAGAGCTGCTCCACAAACAAATCTCTGAAATACACTGAATCTGTTTATTCGATGGTGAAATGTTACTCCATTTTTACAAAGTCCAATCACACCAGGTTCTAAGAAATTAAGTGTTCATGTTCTTAATAGTGTAGATTTTTCCAGTTAAACATCCATGAAGTATCCCCAGAGCTCCAGCCACAGTGCAAACCAGCACACAAGGAAACACATTCCATACAAAACTCTCCTCCATTATTTCACACATTTGCTCCCTATTATTTCTCACCATCCTCACTGAAGAGAAAATGTTATGAAGCTACAATTAAAAGAAAGAAAAATCAGCATTAGAAGTGTCAATTAGCCATTTACAGCTTTGGCTTCAATAAATATTCCATTATTTGTATGAAAAAGAACAATTAAAGTAACAGTAACTCACAAAGCGTGTCATAAATAAATGTTTTCCCTTTAAAGCCCCCCACCCCCCCCCACCCCCCCACCCACCCAAAACCATGTCATCAGTGTTCACTACTTTATCATGAATTGTGCAAGATGTGCTTGACTTTATATAACTACAGCTGAAATCTACTGTGGACATGTCCGGTGATTCTCCTCTGGATTTCTCTCAGTGCTCTGGTGTGCCCCTCATGCATAGCTGTTGGTTGTTACCAGCAGCTCGTACGCCGGGTCATGACTTCTCCTGCACAGCACCACACAGGCACAGAGCATCCCCAGCATCTGCAGGAGGACAGAAAAGTCATTATTTGAGCAACAACAAATACCTTTATATGACCTGAAAGTTATCAAATGTGAGTGTAATCAAATTAAAAAAGAATATATCTCTTTTTCATAACTTTATTGCAAGTTTTTTTACATTACATGTTGTCAAATTTCAACACTTACTGTGTTTCTCCTCGCACATTTGTACATGTATTTGTTAAACATACAAGAATACAAACATACATAAAAGAAATATAGTGAAGAACAGAGGAAAATGTAAAGAGAAAAATAAATAAATGTAAAAAATACATAAAATAAAAACATAAAAAAACAAGATGTGTGTGTGTGTGTGTGTGTGTGTGTGTGTGTGTGTGTGTGGTGGGTGGGTGTGGGCAATACTCTCTTAATTTAAATTCATGTATTTATATTTTACACTACCTATAATTTGCTTATATATTCCATTAACCAACACGTTATCTGGCTCTGTATCTGCTTTTTTTTTCTTTTACTATGCTACTTTGGGAAATGTCACTTTACACGCATGTTATATTACACCAAGAGACACACACAGAACATGTAATGATATAATGAGACTTTTAAAGTTAGAGAATAAGTTAAGAGCAGCAAGTCAGCTAATTTTGTGCCAGCACAAAATTCTGCAGCTTAAATGCTGCTAGTAAACATTATTTTGACTTGATATAAATATAAACATTTATAAAAAAGTTTAGTACAATTATAGTTATTTCTTAGATTTTTGATAACTAAAATATATTCCCTTAAAGATGCAGTTTGTAAAATAGCAACCCAAAGCTCCTTAAAAAAAAAAAGAGAGAAAAAAAAGAAAGAAGAAATAACAGCACACCAACACACATCAGAAGTTGAGCTTAGAACGCTGTAAGTCACCACGCTTCAACCTGCAACCTGCAACCTTCACTTAACAGTCAATCTTTAGAACACACAATTGATGTAAACACAACATTAGGGAAGTAATAGACATCTATAATAAAATGTTGCTTCCACTGATGGACTCCATTTCCCATCTTCCCTGCTGAAACTGTCTTTTTTTTTTTTTTTAGATGAAACTAGTTGTCCTATTTACCTGTATGGATGCAAAAGTCAGTGCAGCCCATATGACGTACATCATGATCTCCTTTAACTTCTTCACAACAAGAGCTTCACAGCCCTAAAGCAGAAAAAAAAAACAACACGCCATGAATCTCACAAGCATGAAGAAAAAGACGAGTAATGTCAGAAAACCTTTTCATATTAAGTCTGCCACTGCCGTCAAACAAAATTCCATCACTTACTGTGTGTGTGTGTGTGTGTGTGTGTGTGTGTGTGTGTGTACTAGTGCATTGTGTTTGTACCTCTTGGTAGAGATCTGCTGGTCGAGTGAGAGTGCCACTACAGTTACTGATGCTGGGCTGGCAGCAGCTCACTGGGACACTGTTGTTCTTGGATTCTTTAAACCAGCGTGTGTTCCTCCAGTCAGAGTAGTTGTGGATACCACAGCAGTGAAGCTAACAAGGCAATAAAGAAAGGTAAAGGAAAATCAGAGTGTGGAGAATATTAATCTGACTAAAGGAAAATGTTTGACGTATGATGCTGTCTCACTCACCTGCTTCTGAACATAGTCAATAGCACGGCTGGGAGCGTCAGTGTTGGTGCCGTTGTATTCATTGTAAACCTTCTGGATGGAGTGATTCACCTCATCCTCCACCTGAAACCAAAACACAGCTGCTGTTGACATACCTGTTCAGTGAATTCACTGTACAAATGTTACCGCTGAGGTACATGTTAAGACGTTATTTAAGAACTCAAGAAGCACTGTTAGCCAAAAGAATAAGAAGCACATGCGAGTAACTAAACACAGCTTTTGAATAAATCAAGAACAGAGTGCATATCAACATTAAGATTCAATGCAATGCCTGCTATATATATTATCAACTACAACCATCCTATGTTCTGCTTAAAGGAAATGTAAAACCGATTTACACAAAATGTAATTTTATACAATTTATATTTTCAAATTAAGAGATTTAAGGACATCTGACTATACAGCTCCCAAAGGGAAACAAATGAGGAAAATGCTTTTGTTCATTGTTGGACCCAAGTGCAAAAACTTTGAAACACTTGCATGTAACTCATGAGAACTGATTTCATCCAGTGAGTGTTTACCTTTGCCCTGTATGTGTAGCCCAGCACCACCACAACACACTCTGTTACAAACACCAGCAGGAGAATGGCAGCAAACTGAAATGACAAGTCACATTGTTTAGAACTCATTAGTAAGTTGATTTGGAAAGTAAGTGATGAATTGACATAGATAATTATTGTTCAGTCTTTATAATGTGTATGTCTTTCCCCATGATTCCTTAAGTATGTATGCAGCATTTCTGTTTCTCCTCTTCATTTCGTTGGAAAAGAAAGTCCTAAACTCACAGTTGCCAGTCCACAGGAGCTTTCACGTATAGTTGCACAGCAGCCAATCAAGCCGATAATAAAGAGGAGAGTGCCGACAGCTATGATTATGACAGCAGGAATCAAAGTGTACACGTCTTCAAAGAAGTGGTCATAGTCGTCATATGTGATGAACACATAGGCTCCAATGTAGCATAAAATTCCAGCAGCAGCCTGCAGAGAAAAACAGAGAAACAGAGATGTCCTTCAGATTTCATTTTGTCCCATGTAAAAATTGTTGTTTACGTTCATCTCTCTACCAGAAAGCATAACGTTAGTCTGGATTTGTTAAAGCTTTATATGTGGAGATTTATTTTTAATCTTCTTTTAGGTCTATGCAGTAAAATAATTCCATTTGTCAGTTTAGTGTGTGATGCACATTCAGACAAAGAAATGCAGAGCTGCATAATATACTGTGTTGCTGTAAAATACAGACCTTCAGATTCATAAATCACTACTGTGGTGGTTGTGGTCATGCCAATAAAGCTTTGATTAATATAACTGGGTTTTAAACATCAATTTAATTTTACTATGCCCAGTTCACTTCTCCCAAAAAAAATCTTTGTAGCTTCAGATAATGATGGACGAACAAAGTTCATATTTAAGGCTGGCGTAGTGTGTAAGTGGGCCATGTTATTAGAACATTATTCAGATATCGTGGACAAATTAAGACTTCTGTCCATCCTTTCCGGTCTATTGCATTTGTTAATTCTATGCAGCTATCTTTAGCACAGACAGCACTGCAGGTAACCTCAGCAGCAGATAAAGGAAGGTTACCTGGAGGCTGCTGCATAACGTCATAACTACAAGTAGTGGGTGGCAGGCTGCAGATACCAACACAGTGCAGGCGCATACCGTCACATAATTGTTCCACTCATAAGTGAAGCTTACAGTATACAGAAATAAATTGTGTCCGGGGTGAGCTGTCGGGCCTCTCTGTCCGACCTACAAACCGCAGCGTATCTCTGGCGCAGTTAACGATCTTGCTCTCCATCCCTGGCCTCACCGGGATGCTGCACACTGTTCAAACATCCATCGTTTTCTTACCCAAAATATGAGATTGAGAAAAACCAAGACGGTTTTGGATGACGTAATTCCACACTGCCCCATGGTCTCGTGAGCTCTCAAACTGAAAATGTAAATGTTAAAAAATAAATACACAGACGAAGCTGCAGCTCTGCTGTTATAATAATAAAATGGCTTCGGTGTGGTCCTGCCTCACAGTGCACACTCTGACGGACTTGACCAATCAATGCGCCGCAAATAAAAAAAAGAGACGGTCACATGCTCCAATGACATCACCGTTCACAACAAAACAGTCTGATGGGGGCATTAACGTTGAACCCTGTAACCTTTTAGCATAGCCTAGGCCTCCATTGTAGACTGTAAATCTAGGTTAAGTTTATTTTTTATTGCGACAGCCTAAATCTACGGAAGAAGATTAGGGCCACACAAAAAAATAGAGTTCTGACTTTATTCTCAGAATTCTGACTTTAAATTCACAACTACGGGTACCTGTAAGAACCAACTCCGGTGGATAGTCACTGTGCAGGACCGTGCAGGACCAGGACTGACTGGAGCACACTGGAGTGGGAAACAACAGCACAGTGGCATGCTTTGCCACTGCTGTGTGCAGTTATAGTTTAATTATACTGTATTTTTGTTTTTTGAGTTGCAAGATGGTGTACCACCCAGGTGAAACTTTTGTGTAAACTACTATGGATTTGCTTAAACGGGTAGCCAACTTACTCTTTTCACCACATTTACATTCAGTTCTTTAGTTGAATGTTGATGAAGCCCCTTATTCCATATAGGTAAAAAGAGATAGGGTAAATAAGGTTTAAAAAAACAGTATTTTGACAATTTTACAAAGCATTTTATTATCATTCACATTGGACACAAATGTAAGAAAGATATTAGTCCGCTGGCGTTAATATTGAAGGAAGTGTGTGGACAATTATGAAATGCAAAATGAATAACATTCAGTCCTGCACAGTGACTATCCACTGGAGTTGGTCCTTACAGCTACCCGTAGTTCTGACTTTTTTCTCAGAATTCTGAGAATAAAGTCAGAACTCTTTTTTTTTTTTTATGTGTGGCCCTAATCCTCTTCCGTACTAAACAGAGTGAAATAGTGAATATAACTAAGTGACACTTTATGTTAACAGACATTTTAAACATCTTTTGGTAAAGCCTATCAGATCAATATATTATATTTGTATTTTATCACTTCTCAGTAGATATGGCACTTTCTTCTAAACACATAATGTGAGTACATAAACTAAAGAGTCAGACAGCATCATCATTGATCTGTTCATGTGTAGTAGGGGTTCAGGCCAGAGGGTGGCAGTGTAGCGTTGGTAGTTTAGCAGGCATTAGATGCGTCATATGAAGATGTAAGAACACAGCAAGTATTAAGACCCTTATTCTGAGCCTGACCACATAAATAATTCAATGTTCAGTCTTTGTTCAGATAATATAAAAGCTGCCCCCACAGAGACACGATATGTCCCAACTACTTTCTTTACTTTAACCCAGGCAAGATTGATTTCTCAATTGTAAATTAGTACCTAGGGGGCAGTCAATAAAGACTTGGACTGGTGCCTCAAAGCCTTTATTTTATTGAGCTAACACTTGCTACATTTGTCTTTGTCAGCTTTTTGGTGTTCAGACTGAGCAAGAGTGAGGACTTACAAGTTAAAGCAGCAGCTAAGGGTACTACTGTTGACACAAACATACATCCAAAGTTTAAATTATGCATCGTTATCTGCTGGCAATAAATGGAGTCATTATCAAAACAGATTGATATGTAATAAAGAAACCAGCTGCTATGCAGAGGAACACAGACAGGATAACAGAAGTATAACTCATTACTATCAACATGTCAGTATATGTTAAAGTTCCCAAAGTTAATTTAAATCCCAAACACTATAAATAATAGTCACTGTTTTTGTTTGATTGTGGTGAATTACCTTGGTAAGAGTACCACTTCAAAAAGTTTAACAGCACTTAGTGGAGTCTACATGTGCTGCTCTTACTTTAGCCAACATGTAAAATACAAACATGACATTTGTTTTCATCTAGATTTTAGTCAATGTTTCAGTGCAACGTAGTGACAAAAATACTCAATTATCATAAATCATTTCTCACAGAAAGGCAGTTTGAGTTACCCAGACAGATTCTCACTGTTTGGTAAACAGATGGATGTCCTTCAGTTTTGTGTTTGTTTGTTCAAATTAAAATGACCTCAAATGACATGTGATTAAACTCATCTACCACATAATTAGTCAAACTGTCAGCGAGGCACTCTCATGGAAACTTTTAAGCTACAAATAATTAAATAAAAAGAGTTAATGACATAAATGTGTCACAAGGAAACCGTTTCATAGCATGCCTTAAATTTGGATTACTATGCAGCTACATAAAATGACTGAAGACAACTTTTGTCACTATGAGAAAATAAAATGAGTTCTCCTGAAGCCTTATTTGACTTATTCTAAGAGAGGACATCAAGTCTGTGGTAGCTGCATTTTTTGTACCCCATTGCAATGAATATCACTGGGCCTATTTTTCAAAATTCTTATAGTAAAAGTTTGAATGTTTTATGTGGATAGGAATTGTTTAATACATTTTCATGTTATACCAGGTTCCTTTCATTTGAACGATTTTTAATCACAGTGCAGAGCTTAGTCTTCCTTGATGACTACATTCTTTTCAGGCCAAAAGCAAATTGTTTCACAATGTATTGTATGTATGTAAGTGAATATTAAAGTAAAGTGAATTGATAAAACATGTGCGTCATCTCTTTGGTTTTTGTTCATTTGTGACTTCTGACCCCGTATAGTTGATGGGGATTTATTTGATTGAATATAAATATGTTGAGTCGATTCACCCCCTCCAAAACAATAAGTATAAGTATAACATTTAAATACTTTCTCTTTATGCAAACATTAGCTGTTAGGGGAGTAACAAGACATGGGGCTGGTAGAGACTTGGATCACTAGTAAAACTGAAAGGTATAAAGCATGTATAAGAGAAGAGATTCAAAGTAAACAGAGAGCAAGAGATGCTCAATTGACACTCTGAATTCTCCGAGGAGTGAAGTCGTATGTCTTGCTAGATCTGCTTGTGCTAATTGTGTCGGGACATCACCAACCTCAACAGATAACAGTTTACACTGTGCAACATGTTTGGACATGTCTGGATCTACAGTTGTAATTAATGAGAATATATTCCCAATTTATTTACACACACTTACACACACACACACACAGGGACCACAGGCACACACGGACAGACACAAATGACTAAATAATGTATCAGCACATTACGCTGTACTAAAACAATTAACAGGTGTCATTCATTGAACAGTGTTTGAGTTTGTGTACCATCCCAGCTCATATGTTACAGCACTACATCCAGAACACTTGGTGAACAGTTTGTTCTTTGGACCAAAAAGACCTGTAAAGAAAATGTTTTTTTCTTTTCTTACTCTCCTCATCAGAGTTTTGAATTGCAAGTTTGAATGCTTTTCTTTTGAGACTTAAATCTACCGTAAGCAATTTAGGGGTCTTTTCGATCAATTCATACCCTATTTTCAAACCGACTAACCTACTTGTGTACAATAGTTACGCACCTGGATGTTCCACGATTCCAAGGTTGTTGTTTGGCAAATAAATCATAGCTTAAAATGAGTAATTATGGAGGAGAAGAAAAACCTGCTCGTTCATGTTCTTCATGGGCCCAGCCTTTGGTTTGCGTTAAAGCTCCTGTAAAATGTCATTTTGATTTGGTTTAAATCGCTAATACATTAAGAGCTTAATTTAAAGTGTAAGGTTAGGTATATACCTAATTCAAAAGATTACACCTGTGACTGATTGCCCCATTTATTACAATGAGGGTAGAACTAAATGTAAGAAACACCTATAGTATAATTTAATACTTTTTAAACACAGGGAGCATTTTATGTTGGGGCTTTACTTTCAGACTGAATTAGTTTAATCGTAGTATATCAAATAAACTGGCGATCTTTGTGTTCTTTATTCTTCTTATTCTGTTTTCTAAGTCACATATCGGGCTACATTTGTGGACACGACTCTCACGTCTCTCATATGAACCTTGAAAATGACATAATTCAGAAAGGCATTGTGGGAGGGATATTTAAATAGCATGTCAGTATAGCTTCAAAGGATCAGCCCCAGGCAAAGAAGCTGCATTGGCCATATCTCACTTGTCCACTATTGATCGACAGAGCAGATCATCTCTTTATGCAAAGGACATGAAAAGTACAAAAGATGATATCGATTTCATGTAGAAAATTTCAGCGAAAAAAGAACACGTGATTTATATAAGCTGCCTACATTTATGATTCATGTAAGTGTTATTTTGGAAAAGCGAAAAGCAGTATTACTCAAGCTGAACAATCAGATTTAATGTTGGGCCTATAAATAAGGTTTGTGAAGGTCAAACATAACTGTGGAGACAATCAGAAGAAGGCTTGCCAAGTTTGATCAAGCTAATCCAACACACAGATGTTGTTATGAAAATGCAGTTGTGATCTTTAGAAGCCATGTGAAATGAAATGAAATAATTAGTCACTTTTCTCAGGAGCATCTTTGGACTTTTTAATTAAATATTTTCTGATACTCTTCATAATACTACACAGAAATTACAGAAGCGTATAGAAGAATCCCAGATATGCAGCCATAATGAAGTGATCAGGTGTTCCTCAGACAGAATGTCTGTAAAGTGAGCAATTTCACAATTTCACAATTTATTTGGCAGAGTCAGAACAGTGCAAATAATGATGTCATTCAATATAAAGAACCTCAAAGGACAAGAACATGGGGGATATCATCATCAAACAAATACGAGGACTCTTTATGCCCACTGTGTAATCAAATGACGGGTGAGCTATATGCTAAGTATGGAAGTAACATTTGATTACAATCATGAGAAGCAGGAGACTGTACACTGTCTAATTTGTTTATTTTGACCCAGGAGGCCAGCTGACCTCAGTTCCGTGTTCATGCGTGCCAAACTCTCATCCTCTGTATCACTTTCTGCTGTGGATGTAGCTTTCTAAAATCCTCATCAACAAGTCCGCATCCTGAAACAGAGCGCACATAACATCAAGTTTATTCACAATCTCCGCCACTTTGGCTTCTTTGTAAGCTATAGATAACAACACAAACTAAAGGGAAAAAAATACACTTGGACCGTCGTGGA